ACCAAAGCCTAACTGCATTTGCCAACTCCTCTGCCAAGCATGGCAACTACTAGCAAAACTCACTACTAAGGGAGACCTATGTTTAGTAGCGAACAGTTAACGTATAAAAGAAGTAGGTCAGTTAGCTCATCGTGACGAATTCAACAAGAATTAGCCACAATAGTTTCCAAGGAGAACTGCGTGGAGGTCAGTTTGATAGAGTATATTGCTAGCAATGGGGCTGTCAAAATCCATTACTAATAATCCCTTTCCCCCATGTATGCTAAGTTAGGATATATCCTACCTATGTACCAATTTTAATTAAGATCTGTTCAGTAGTTTTTGCGTGAAAGAAAGAAAGAAATAATTTATTGAAAGAATCATATCGTGAAAGAGTAACCATCAACCATCCATTCATCGATATGTTGCAGTCAAAACTCTTAACTAGTCAAAAGTACTATTGACTAGTAAAATCAGTTTAAAGTATTTCTGACTGAACAGGTTGGACAAAAGTGGTTTTGACTGAAAATGATTGGTTATTAGTATTTTTTACTGCAAATTTGCGGTTAGGTTAGGTTAGGTACTTTTAACTGATTTTGCTAGTCAATAGTACTTTTGACTGGTTAAGAGTTTCGACTATAACAGATATATTGTCATTGACATACATGTGTGTATGAGACGAGTCCATACATTCTTCTTTCAGAGTATTCGGTAGTTAATTATAAATCACACTGATTATAAATAAATAACATATTTTATTTAATAAATTAATTATCATCAGGAAATTCTTTTACGAACATTTCTAGCCACGGTTTTATTTCAATGTCTTATGAAAGTAAAAAAAAAAAAATGAAATATTAAAATATTGTGTTAGTGTGTCTGTCAGTTGATGCACCGGCAAAATTGCAAGTTGCGCGCCCCACATCTAAGCTAAGAGCTTCTGGCCACTTGACCGGACTATTATTATTTTACGGACACACGGTCGTACCAAATGGCGAACAAAGACAACGAACGTAAATAAGAAAAACAGAGTATTCTTTCTGCCTAACCTAAGGTATACTTTTTTGAGCATCAATATGTATTTTAGCTTAGTGCTTAATATGGGGTATAATTTTTTTCTAGATTTATCTTTCTGTTTGAATGAGATAATATTATAATTATGAAGATTGTGTTTCACAATAAAAACGACTCCAATTGTGATAAAATTAGTTATTTTTATATAAAAATTAAATTACTGAACCGATTTTGATAACTTTTCTATGTGATCAATCGGTAAATATTTCCTTTCAAATAGTGGATGAGATAACAATAAAAAAAATTTACTGCATTAATAACATTATCTTTTTGAAATTTGTATAAAGTAATCTTAGTAGAAAGGTAAATAGTATAAATATTTATGTTAGATTGTCATATTCTAATATTATAAAGTGGAAACGAAAAATTTTTTGGATGTCTGTTTATTTGTTTGTAATGAATATATTCAAAAATTACTCAACCGATTCTAAATTTTTTCACCTACAAAGCTTTTTCATCTACAGAAATCTAATATAGTGACATAGGCTATTATATAATTTTTCAAAATTCTATCTATGCGTGAGAAGCCGGAGCGGGCCACTAGTATTAAATAAAAACAAGTATTACATGCTTATAACACGTAACAGTTGTACTATTTGATACAAATTATATTCCTTATCTTATTGTTAAATATGCCTTCGTGTTACTGACCTATATTGTTTTATCATAAAGCTAGTACTGTATTGTATATTATTTAATTATTAATAATTTCTAATTATTTATAGTTTGCAAATATAACCATTATAATTACAATTATTGAATTTGCATAAAACAATAAGAGCTGTAATGAAATTTGTTGATAATAACATACAAACTCAATGGTTTCCAAAATTGGTAAGAATTATCCATAATTAATTCAAGAGATTACATTAAAGGAACGAGTAAACTCTTTGGAAAACGGAATAGTCACACGAGATCGTTCCCAGGGCAATATGAAAGTGAAAACTGCAATTTAATATTGCTGCGCGCTCTTTACGACCGTGTGTACGCGTTTATGCGAAAACGAGCATAATTTGCACACCGCAAATAGCACTTATTATTTTAAAGTGGCCACGTATTGTCTCTAAAGTTCTTTCTCTTCGCGCGGCGACAATTTGAACGGAATTGTCGACAAATCGACGGGCATATTTTGCAATTTCATTGATTAGAGTCGATTTTGGCAGCCATTTGTGGGAATTTGTACTTTCTATTGTCAGTTGTGTGAGTAATGAACTTTTTGCGACGAAAATTTGACATTGTCAAGAAGATGTACTTTAAAAGATTTTGTATGGAGAAATGTTTGTTTTAAAGTTTCAATTTCTTGTTTGAATTAAAGCACTTTTTTAAAATTGTTTTGAGGACTTAAATTATACATTAATAAATATGATCATTTATTGTTTAAATAATATTGTAGTTTTATACGAAAGTAAGTTTGTTTGTTTATTACATTTTGTCTTTTTTTTTTTATTTATTTGGTTCAAATCATTATCATCATATCAGCCTTTAATTGTCTACTACTGAACATAACTCTCCCTCTTGGGAGGTTTTGCCAGTAATTGCCAAGCTTGGCAGGCAGATTGGCAACCGCAGTTAGACTTTGGAGATGTTTTAAGAGGAATACTGCTGTCCATCCTTCGCTCTCACTTAGTCGCCTCTTACAACACCCACGGGACAGGTAGAGGTAACCCATTCTATGTCGGGACTGATATGGTGATATGGTTTAAATAATTGCCATAAACATTGTAATTGTGGCGGAGAAGGAAGGAAAAGGAAGGCTACTTTCTATTATAGATAATATATCTCAATTACACAGACGAAGTTGCGGGTATAAACTAGTCATAAATAATATTAATTTTATTAAGTAAAGAACTGTCTATACAATGTCTATGCGAAGTGACGCGGGCGCAGCATTAATGAACGTCACGTACAGTTATCTAAGCGCACGCGCCACTGTTTGTGTGTACGTACGCTGTACCGAATTGAGGATAAAAAACTTATTTACTGTTTATTCGCTTGACTCACCGATGCTTTTATTTTCTCATGGAATGAAATTATTTTCTGAATGCGAGCGTCAATCTTTATTTTGTTAATATTTGGTATAACGGTTGAAACTATATTTTAAAATAAGAACGTAAGTGTTCCACTGACAACAGTGAGGCTATTAAGTAATGAATGAATGAAGAACGTAAGTGACAAATAGAGTACAATGTACTTACTACTCCAATTCTACTCTAACAGGGTATAAAATATGATATACCAGTGCAAGAAAAGGTAATGTGGAAATAAAATAAACAATCTGTCAGGTCTGGTCAGCGTGGTAATAGTTTATTTAGGAATTTCCGCACTAAGTGTCGCAATTGGACCATTGTGCCTAAGAGTATGGTTAATCCAGCAATTCTAACCTGTTCCTAAAGGTTAAAAGGTGGCTTGGATTGTCATTAAAATTTTGGAAGTAACTTTGATGTAGATTTGGAAGTATATTTGATGAAGGTATTGATGGCCTTGCTGCTAACAATATGCCCTGTCAGGTGGTCATCTGCGCAGTTTCCCTTCCCTGGAAATCATCGTAATTGGTTTTTGGTGCATTTGTCATAACGGGCCAATAGGCCTGTTTTAATATTCACCTATCATCCTTCACTTGAGGTTAGAAGTATTGTTAGTAAAAGGGAATGTTAAGTTCCATTGCTAGCAATTTACGCTATCAAGTCGACTTCCACACGGTATCCCCTAGAAACCATAATAATTGATTCTTGTTGAATTCGCCCCAGTGGGTTAACTGACATGCATTCATCCTCACCTATCATCACTCACCGGTGCCCCACCAGCGTATACCGATAGTGAGGATGAAGAAACAATTCCATTATCATCCATTAAGATTATCCTTCACTGGTGCCCAGCTTATATTGACAGCACAGACGGGGATACCATTCTATTATCATTCAAAGAAAGATTATGCTTTAAGATTATTGGTACAAGAGTAGGTGTTTCTGTTGTAAATAGCAGGATGCAGTAATAAAACATATATGTATTAGAGATAAAAAATAATAAGTTTAGTGAAAAAATACGAGATATGACTTATAAAAATCTGACACGGAACAAACTTAAAAATTATAAATTGTTCTAAAAAACCTCAGTGTCAACAGCCAGTATTAAAACTCCAACAGTTTCTTGTGTTCCTTGGAGTATATGGCGAGTTATCCATTTTATCTAGATAAAATAAACGTTTGTTTAGGAAATAGTAGCCCGTTAAAAATATAATAGGATTATTATATTATTTTGTTATAATACTCATGTTTAGCATACTACAATAGTTTTACTAAAAATATTAAAAAAAAATTTAATGAGTAGTTTTGCTTAGATTTTTTTTATAGGTGGCGATTTGTTTATGGCTTTATGCATTGAATATTTTTCGTCAAACTTATATAGTGATTTTTTAAATTTCTAATTGTTAATAGCTAAAGATTCTATGCAAGTTTATGTGAATTAAAAAAAACATTTAGTCCTAATTTCTGTAATTGTGTAGGAGTACTTGTTAGTATAACAAGTAAAATTAATAAATAAATGATGATGCTGATAATTAAAATGCAAAAAAAAAACAAAAGAAACAGCTAAGTTTCTTGCCCGTTCTTTTTAGCTGAAATTATATAATGAACTAATAAGCGGTAGATTCATAAAAAATGAATTTATCTTTTATCATATTATTTGTGACTTATATCAATTATTATTCAAAATGCTTAAAAGTTTATATAATTTTTTTTATACAACTTTTAATGGCAAACAAGCTGACGGCCCACCTGATGGAAAGTGGTAACCGTCGCATATAGACGTGAGCAGTACCATGGACATAACAGAATATACTGTTTCGCCCATGGTATCTCTCCATATATTGCCATTTCTGAGGACTCAGGTTTTTATAATGAAAAATATTTTTATTTATTTATTTATTGTTGAATGTTGTCCGTTTGCAGGTTGTGTGTGTAGCGCATGCTGCACGTGCGGTGATGCGCCGCGAGCGCACGGGATCGACACATGCATGCCGCCCGCGCACCCGGTATGTATTTTATTTATTTATTTATATCTTTTATTTATTTATTTCAACAATTAAGTTTAACTATTTAACTGTGTAGTGTACATACATTTTTAAACTATCAATTACTTGCAATATAGTGTAATTTTGTGTTACTTTGCGTAATTTAATACGAAATGAGGATATCCGCAGAAGAACTAAAGTGACTGACCTATCGCGAAGGATAGGTAAGCTGAAGTGGCAATAGGCTGGTCACATAGCTTGACGAACCGATAACCGATGGGGAAGAAAGATTCTTGAGTGGCGACTCGTTGAGTGTAACTACTATTTAGACATTAGGAGACTTTTCCACACAGTTCCAGTGAAATTGACTAGAATTAGTGTCCTATTTGGACCATTTAACGGTTTTAGTGTTCTAACTACTTAAGGCTTTTGTATTAAATTATATAGATAGACCATCTCTATACAAATGTTTCGAGATAAGCGGGACAACTTTATCATACAATTTTGCGTAATAAACAATTAAGAGCGTTACTTTTAGAACTTCGATATTTATTTTGTTTAATAATTTTAACGCGTATAAACTCATTTAAATAAATAATTGTGTAAACATGGATATGTCTACATATACTATGTGCGTAAGTACGTATAACACTAATGAAAAAACGAGTCAGCTAATTTGACAATTAGCTGACAAAAAGTTGATCTTCTGAGTCTCGATGCTCTATCTATATAATCTAAGGCTTTTGTGCTAATTGATTATTTATTATTATATTTATATTATTATATATATTAGCGAACTAGCCTAATAATATGTAGCTAATCATTGCATCTTTATGAGAAACGTACAAATGCAAATACATACAATATGCTATTACTTTGAATACTCCATCGATGCTGCGGAATGATAAACAGTATTACATGGCTATGTGATCTCGGCTTAGAATAGGTCACCTCTTTCCTTCCCGTAGATATCGTAAGAGGTGACTAAAGGAACTTAATGGTAGAGGGATGGGCAGCAGCGTCCCTATTAAAGCATCTCTAAAAGCCAATCTGCTAACCCGCCTGTCAAGCGTGACAACTACTGGCAAAACCCCCCTTATTGGGGAGGCTATATTCAGCAGTGGACAGTCAAGAGATGATACAACATATAGCTTATGTTACTCGCTGGTAATGCGGCTTTATATAGATAAAACTAATTTTTAAAATCGATTAAATAGTTCTTTAGTTTGTCCATTACAAATAAATAATCAAATATTTTAAAAACAGTACTTAGTGCCCTTTTAATTTGGTCTCACTGTAATTCGATTTTTAAATAATCCGTTTGTTTTTTTATTAATGCTGTGTAATAGGTATATAAATTTATTATTGTTATTCTATTTTTAAAAATAAAAGGAAGCAACAGTAGCGAAGATAAAATACAAGTGCTTCAGTTTGTATTTGTGTTGTTAAATCTTCTTTTTCACGGTATAACGCTTCGAGTGTTTTCCTTATAAGATTTTAAAAGTATGCAGCTAATTTTTCTGTTTTTTTCTTTTGTTTTTATTTGTTTCATGGTTCGAAAGAATCTTAAGCTTTTAAGGATAAGAAATATTTGAGTTGTTTTAAAATGTAATGAGAATCCGCTATTGTTTTCTTTTTACCCGACTGCGGTGAAGTAAAAAAGAGAACCATGATTTTCACCGGTATGTTATGTATGTGGGTATGTATGCATGTACGTTAATCTATTCTCTTGTATCTTCTAAACTAATTAACTAACGCATTTTGATCGTCCGCTAGTAGTAGGATTTATACTATGTGCATTTTTATGTGCATATTGTGTTTATTTTACGATTATAAATAATAAGTTACATCATGTAATGTAAGTTTTTATGTTGTGTACAATTATAGATACTTGTATCTCTATTTTGAATATTTGAAGGAGTGTATATTACTCGTCAAACGATTTGTGGCTGATTGTAAATTCTTTTTTTTTTTTTTAACTTCTGGGAAATGCTTAATGCAGACCCATACACCTTGTGGGAGGTGAATGGGTACTGTGGGAATACCCCCGTAAGGTGGGGGTGTACCCACCAAAAACCAGACGATATACACTCGAGGTGCCATATGTCGGAGACATGGGTTCGCTTTCGCACTCACCACATCTAGATTGTAAATTCTAGGCTTACGTGTACGTAGAGTTAAAAAAGGAAAGTTCTTTATTTATCATACATACATACACTTATGATAAATAAAGGACTTTTCAAAACAAAACAAACTTATGACGTTTATTGAATACATTAATTATTATTAAGTGTAAATTTTTGATATAATCATCATCATCATCATTAACTGCTTAACTGCTGAACATAGGCCTTCTCCCATGAGGGGCGTTTTACCAGTAGTTGCTATATTTGGCAGTCGAGTTGGCAATCACAGTTAGGCTTTGGTGATGTTTTAAGAGGGACACTGCTGCACGTCTTCGACTAATAAGTTCTTTTAGTCGCCATTTACGATACCTACGGAAAACAAAGGGGTGGCCTATTCTAAGCCGAATACATAGCAATGTTTATCTTTTCGCAGCGTCGCTGGATTATTCAAAATAATGGCATATTGCACATATTTGCATATGTGCATTTCTCATATAGATGCAATGGTTATCATTAGATTAACAAAAACATAAAGTACCCTTAAGTTCTTTAGCTGATAAAAACGTCTCAAATTAACAGTATGGAGGGGGGAAAGGGATTGTTAGTAATGGAGACTGAGAATCTCATTGCTAGCAATATACCCAACCAAGTCGACCTCCTCGCGGTTCTCCCTGGAAACTATCATGGTTAATTCCTGATGAATTCATCATGATGGGCTAACTAGTCTGTTTTCTTTCTCATGTATCACCCTTCACTGGTGCTCTGCCAGTGTATCCCGTTAACGCAGGCGGGGTTACCATACCATTTTCACCCATAAAAAAAATTAACAGTATGGCAGTACATTGGAATAACTTAAGATTTTTTTTTAAAACAGATGCCCATCCTGTAGATGCAAGTAGATACTTGTATATTTTTTTTAATGGGTGATAATGGAATGGTTACTCTGTCTGCGGTAGTGGTATATACTAGCGGGGTACCAGTGAGAGATGATAGGCGAAGATGAAACAGGTTAGTTAGTTTGTCGTAATAAATTTTTCAAGAATGAACTAAAATAGTTCTAGGGCCAATCGCGTGTAGGTCGACCTGATAGGATATATTGCTAGCAACGGGGATGTTAGATCCCCATTACTAACAAACCACGACATGATGGTAGATAAACATACACAAAAAAAGAAAAAATATATATATATTTATAAATATATATATGTATAAAAAATATATAAAAGAACGGTAACGGATTATAGTCGTGAGATATATATATATATATATATATATATATATATATATATATATATATATATATATATATATGATCACTTCGAAAGATCTGAACAGTGTAGCTGTCAGTTTACTTTATGAGTTGAAGCCGCCGATGCAATATGCATGCACCCGCCGGCGGTTGTGGTCATGTTGGTAATATTTTTTACATAAATCTATCATTAATCAAGGAAGATAAAGTCAAATACTTTTTAAGTATTTTTTTATATTATTCTTACTATTTTAGGATTAATTGTTTTTTTTTACATAGTATATATATAACATTATGAGTCACGTATTAAAAACTAGTTTTTTTTATATGTGTCTTTCGAGATGGCATATCAAGATTTTAAATTACATTTTTAGGAACGCAACGAAAACCGAGTCTAATTCGGTCCAGTAGTTTTTACGTGACATTAGAACAAACATACATTTAGACAAAATTTCTATTAATGATTTGTTTTAGCTAATAAATAAATTAAATATTTCTTATGTACTACTTTTCCATGTACAAATATTCTGTACTTAAAATTTTAATAAATTACTAATATTTTTTAACGTTATCTTAAGGCAAAAATGAAAGAAAATTTGTTAGTTTGTTACCTCTTGGTGTTTTAACGGTGTTTTAAAATCGCAATGGAGAAAAAAAAGAGGCTGTTTTTTTATTTTACATATTCGATATATGCCGGTTAGATGGACAAAGTTGCAGTTAAAAATTAATACATTATAAAATATGGTAGTTACAGTAATTTCCTTTTCATGTGTCCCAATATTGGACGTTGTTGCAAGCACAATTACTGTTTCTAATTCTTCTAATCCATATGTTTTATTAATAGATGGTATACATCTTAGATTACATAAGAAACAATTATGGTAGGGTCGTAATTTATATGAGGGCTACATCAATACGCTAAGACGTAGCATTTGGAAAAAACATATTTAGTATCAGTTTGTTTAATTTTATATATTAACAGGAATTATTTTCATCTTTCATATTTTTTTATTCACAATATAAATATTTTTTTTAATGGTTGACAATTAAATGGTAACTCTGTTTACGCTAACGGTATAAGCTGGCGGGGCACCAGTGATGATAGGTGACATGAAAAGGCAGGTCAGTTAACCGACCGTGATGAATACGTCAGGAATTCAGCACGATGGTTTCCAGAGGGGACCACGTGGAGGTCGACCTGACCCTATATTGTTAGCAATGGAGTTGGCAGTTTACTAATAATCTCTTTTCCCCTATCTTTATTTATTAGGATTGGTAACTCGCATGTCACGACCCTTATATTATAGGTATTAAGGCACTTCTGTCTACCATCAATTGGGATGTTTGTTTTGCCACTTTAGTGGTATAAAAGAAAAACATTTCACTTTCACTTCATAATCGGGCAATTAACAGGTGACTACCAACAGACGTTGAGCAAATAAAAGAAATCAGTATTTATCCAAACAGCAATTAGCCAGTGCTCAATGGCGACATACTTAGCGAGATGCATTCAAAATGGCTTATTAATATTAATTAAGTGTTAATTAGCGCGCGCGAACGTGCCACTTGACTTTAAGCTGTATACTCACAAAATGTGTGTGAGTCTTTATTTGTTTACATTGTAAAAATTAATTAATTTTAATTTA